TTACAATAAAGGCGAGGTGCCTTATTTTAGTTCACTTATAGTTATTGCAACAGTGATAGTCACTAATTAACTTGTAATGGATTTAATTTATCGCAAAAATGTAAAATGATTTAATTGATTAGGGAATTGAAATACTGTCATAGGTTTAGTGACGCTTGAAAGGCTTCCCTATGTTCAGTGATAAAATTTATAAAAATTTCTGACTAATATTCTAGAATCTAGAGTGACGTGACTCTGACGTCATATCCGTCAGTATAAGCGTGATTGGAACTTCGTTGAACGAACTTAGCGGGACTTGCACTTTCTCCAACAGCTTTATGCGTTTCACCCTGAGACCCAAATAAACAGAAGAAAACACGGCCAAAAAACCTCAAACAAACTTATTTATTTGTTTCGAATACTTGTGTAACGATGTAAGTTTTCGTTAGAAAATATCAGAATGTGCATCATTAATCAATCATCGCATTGTTAGGCATCAATTGACTTCTATATCACTTTAGTTTATGGAAGTGGTAATGAGGCCACATGTAAAATATCTTGTTGCCAAAATTGATTCACACAAATTTTTCACATGGAAATGCCAGTTGCTAAGTAAAGTTCAAGTAGAATGCTACTTGTGGAGACTCTCTTAATTTATAACATAACCTAGTGATGTCGGCGCTGAAGAGTAGGCCTGATGTGGCCTGCCGCCGATTCTTGTACTTTTCGTGACTTGTCCACAGGAGATCAAAAACCAGGCCCTTCAACCGGATCTTCTCCAAACTGACGATAGTTTGAAATAGCTCTAGACCTCCACCGAGTGTGATATGGTGTTAGGCATTTCCCGTGTTTGTATTCTGGAGAGTTATGTTTGAAGAATTTCCATCATGCCCTTAGGGTATCCACTAACCGTGAAGAAGCTTTTGCAGAAAGTTCACAGTTTTAGAGAATTTCTTCCATTAGAGGAAACACTATTTATAACATTGATAAATGAGCCGCACGATTCTTCAAAGATGCTTGCTTACACGCCACACAATTTAAAAAACCTAATTGCAGACGCTTAGAATAAGGGTGCTCAAAGAAAGTCTTACGGTTACGCATTAATAAAAATTCTAAGTACCATTACACTTTTTGCCGGAAAATGATACAGCAAATTAATGCTGGAAATGATTCTAGATTTGTGATCTACGCATAACGAAATAATACGTTAGGTACAACAATCCTTGTACGTAGTCCAAAGTAGGACATTCGTTCCTAGCGAAGTCGCCCATAGCGAGTCTCAATCCAAATTCTATATCCTAGCGTACTTGAGTTAATTTGCTTAATTTTCGAAAATTCGACCGAGAACTTCTCAACTGTTGTAATTTCTCGTTGAGCCTGCATACTCGGAAATTGACCCGCGCGCGAGAGTAAAATTTACGATGTGTTGAGGTACATAGCAGGTTCTATCAACGTAGCTCATTAATAGGGCGATTACAGCAGGTCCCGGCTTCAAGTCAAGACCGATGTGCTGTCTGTCTAAAGACGCTCTCAAAAACTCTAACATGAGGGATTAATTCCGATTTCATTGAGGTGGGAGCACCTTTGTTTACGTGATCTGTCGAGCTATCGGTATCCACAAGGTTCGACGAAACTTGGGGGAACTTGTTCCTCATTTTCTGGAATCGACACAGAGCAATCCGTAGCCGAGTTTTCGGTTGGCATGCTTATGTTTCTTAAGATATCACTTGTGAGGCAAGAAATTTCGGAAGGCTGTGATGCTGCAGAGGCATTGATGAAGTGTTTGATCCCGTAACAACAGAATCATCGTCAGGTGCGAGTATTGGGCACTAACGCAACAAAGGTTTGTTTACGGATCATAGTGGTCCATTTGAAGGGGGGGGGGGCGCGGCCGTAGACCACAAATTTTACTCTTAAACAAACAGTGGAACCAACGCCCAGCCTCACCATGCAATAATTTCTCTCATCCTCAGAGCTAGAAGCCGCAGATTACGCTTGAAATCCGCAATCCAGACCAGCGACACACTGCTGAAAGATAATAGTGCCTTAAGTATGCCCGCTCATAATTAAGCAGGCATTTCCTCATCCGGCTGGACCTACTCCGGCCTAACCTCGTCTAGCCTAACCTATTCACGCTGTCCTGGCTCACAACCTTTTTAGCCAATGACTGACTCTACTAGCACACTTGGACCGCCTTTCTAACTTTATACAGCCAATGCGGTTAGGTTAGGTCCGCTCAGGTTTGTTTTGGTGTTGCAACTGGTGTAGGTTAATTAAGCCTGAAGCAAGTTTGGCAAAGTTGGCCTCCGGCATGCTCCCCATTTGAAACGTGGCAGTGGTGGTCTCCGACAGGCCAGTGATGATTCGATGTAACGTTCAGGGCGGACGATCATTATTACACTCTGGGCTATTTACTTCAGAATATGGTGGCGTAAAGCTCTAGACATCTAAAACAAGACGATGCCATGGGATGGTTACTGACGGCAGGATTAAAACTCGGCTGACTGATTTCCTTAACAAATATTATAGGCGTTCTTTTCAGGGCTGATTGGTACACAAAATTGGTGGCAAAGGCTGTTCTCCCACTTTTTTCGACCTTAGTGACGTCACCAGAAAGATGTACTGAAAAGAGAAAATTCTCGTCGGTCAACTTTATATAATTCAACCGTGGTCATGCGTATGGGAAGCTCAGGTCGTTCTGTAATGATTTGCAGCATTCGAGAGCAAATCAATCATTAACGGAGCGCTGAGACACCTGTCCAGACGTGAGGCGAGTGGTGAAGAACCAAGTCCTCAGAAAGCAGATAGAAGAAGAAGAAGAAGAGCGCTGAGACAACGCTATGATTGATTACGATGGTAGTGTAATGTGGGGTACTTTCTTAAATCAATTTCGTAACAACAATAGTGTTTATCTATAATCAATCAAATATTCTTAGAAAGCTTTGTAATCGGATTTGTTGCTCAATTTTTACCATATTTCTCTCCTCACACTACCTGCTGCCATATCTATGCCACTACACCATTGCCGTTGTAAAACTATGCCACTACACCATTGCCGTTGTAAAACTATGCCAATACAACACTGCCGGTGAACAAATATCCCACTAGACCACTGCCGTTATAAAACCTTGTACTACAATACTGCCGTTGTAGAGCAATGCCACTACACCACTGCCGTTGTAAAGCTATGCCACCGCTTCCATCCCAGGGACTATGCCACTACCCCACTTCCATCCCAGGGACTATGCCACTACACCACTTCCATCCCAGGGACAATGCCACTACACCACTTCCATCTCAGGGACTATGCCACTACACCACTTCCATCTCAGGGACTATGCCACTACACCACTTCCATCCCAGAGACTATGCCACTACACCACTGCCTTGGCAATGACTATAACACGCCAGCCATGAAATTGGCTGACATCCCCGAACCTCGGCTAACATCGAACGGGCGGCTAAGCCCAGTCCATCGCCTGAGTTGCGTAGGCTTGAGCCGCAGCGCAAACCTGCTAAACCGGCGGTCAAACATCGCCTCTGGAGCCGCGAGTGGCGTGGCTGGGTAGAGTACGGCAGCCAGGCTGGGTAGAGTCCAGCAGCCAGGCAGGGTAGAGTCCAGCGGCCAGGCAGGGTAGAGTACAGCAGCCAGGCATGGTAGAGTTCAGCAGCCAGGCAAGGTAGAGTCCAGCAGCCAGGCAAGGTAGAGTCCAGCAGCCAGGCTGGGTAGAGTCAAGCAGCAAGAAGGGGAGAGTCCAGCAGCAAGAAGGGTAGAGTCCAGCAGCCAGGCAGGGCTGAGTCCAGCAGCCAGGCAGGGTAGAGTCCAGCAGCAATGCAGGATAGAGTCCAGCAGCCAGGCAGGATAGAGTCCAGCAGCCAGGCAGGATAGAGTCCAGCAGCCAGGCAGGGCTGAGTCCAGCAGCCAGGCAATAGAGTCCAGCAGCCAGGCAGGGTAGAGTCCAGCAGCCAGGCAGGGTAGAGTCCAGCAGCCAGGCAGGGGAGAGTCCAGCAGCCAGGCAGGATAGAGTCCAGCAGCCAGGCAGGGTAGAATCCAGCAGCCAGGCAGGGTAGAGTCCAGCAGCAATGCAGGATAGAGTCTAGCAGCCAGGCAGGATAGAGTCCAGCAGCCAGGCAGGATAGAGTCCAGCAGCCAGGCAGGGCTGAGTCCAGCAGCCAGGCAGGGTAGAGTCCAGCAGCCAGGCAGGGTAGAGTCCAGCAGCCAGGCTGGGTAGTATCCAGCAGCCAGGCTGGGTAGAGTCCAGCTGTCAGGCAGGGTAGAGTCCAGCAGTCAGGCTGGGTAATATCCAGCAGCCAGGCTGGGTAGAGTCCAGCTGTCAGGCTGGGTAGAGTCCAGCAGCCAGGCAGGGGAGAGTCCAGCAGCCAGGCAGGGTAGAGTCCAGCAGCCAGGCAGGGTAGAGTCTAGCAGCCAGGCAGGGCTGAGTCCAGCAGCCAGGCTGGGTAGAGTCCAGCAGCCGTACAGGATAGAGTCCAGCAGCCAGGCAGGATATAGCCCAGCAGCCAGGCAGGATAGAGTCCAGCAGCCAGGCAGGAAGGCCGTAGGCCTGTCGCCGATTCTTAACATCGCAGAACATTCACAGCATTTTGAGGTCTCGAACTCGCAACGCACTGCTAAATTCTGCTTTGCTTAACCGCCCGGCCTCCTTGCCGATTCTGACCAGAAACTGTCGCACAGAGCTGGGATCAAACCCGCGCCTCTATATAGTGCGTCAATCTTGGTACTCTGAACTTTAACCACTGGGCCACCCTGCCCTATGTATTGTATGCTGTGTAGTGTATTGAATGCTGTGTAGTGCATTGTATGCTACGTAATGCATTGTATGCTGTGCACTGTATGTGTGCTGTGGACTAAATGCTGTGTGGTTATCACTGTGCGATATTCACGGAATTTTCAGTTGAGCTGTGCCCAGTTAAGCTGCTCCCTCTGCCCTGCAGGAGCAGGCGATACCGCCGCCTATATAAGGCGGGCGGTTATAGGTCAGCTTACCTTGTCTTCCGAAGCCCTTTACAGAGACAGTACGAACTTTCGCTGCTCCGCACGATACAAGTCGTATTCTTCTCTCCATTAAATCGTCTCGTATTATCTAAGTAAGTTTTGCTTCAAAATTTACTACGAAAATTGTTTCTTTGCCGCATCTCAAGCCAATGCACCAACCATAATAGCTGACATATTTTTTCATGTCATTGTCAGATGTAGGTAGGAAAGTATTTTCTAGCAGTTTAATAGCATATTACGGGAGAATATTACTTGAACGACGAACATTCGACATGTTCGAATACCGAAGCTTAAACGCAAACGGGGTTACGGATTACCACTGGTTCTCAATGCGAAATCTACTCTTATACACACACGAATTATAAAACATATAATAAACTTGTATCGCAGGTAATCGAAATGAACAGTGAAAAGGAGACTACAAGCACGTATTGGTCAGCAACGTCCTCGATATCCTGTATTTTAAAGTAATCGATGTACAAACAATATTACTGTATTTCAGCGCGACGATCTACAATTTGCTGATATCTTATTACTGTGCCCGGGCATGCTTATAAAATAGATTGTGCAGATACCTGACTTTTGATGACTGATTAGTTAAGTAGACTCTCAACTCTCTACTGGAGTAGAGAGTTGTGAGTCTACTGAGAGTTGAGAGAGTAGAGTAGTAGTAGTAGAAGTAGAGAGTAGTACTAGAGAATTGTCCGAAACATGCAGATGGCTGTAAACATGTGAGAAGTCTGGAATTGGCGACAGGCCGGACATAGTACAAATTTATTTTTTTGTGATTGGTTTCAAAGCTTGTGGTGCCAGAAACACCTCCTAGCCTGATCTCCGTAAATGCCAAACTGCAATACTAGATATAGTAGTAGTATAGTATAGTATCTTCGGCATTAAAGAGATAGGCCTGGATAGGCCTGTGCCGATTCTTGTACTTTTCTTGACTAGATATGCTAGATTATGGGTAAAATTATATTCTGTATCTACAGTACAGTTTGTATTATATTATTGTCGTCTTTGCCGCTTGTAGCACGACGGTCTCCTTGAAAAAAATTGATGGATTGAAGAATGATGCCGCCGACCAACACCTTCGTGCATGAGTGATGGTCGTTAACATAAAGACATGACGTATCATGGCTATGACATGACAAAATAGGATAAAAATATAAAAAAAACTATTTACAGCAAGCAGTAATGCAGTTTGACAGTTGCACTTTGAAATATTTAATTACATTATAAAAGTTAAATTGAATTCTAGAGAAGAATTTGGCAGCATACCCCTAAGAGTTCACAGGTCGATGCTGACCGGAAAAATGAAGCTAATGCACTACTGGCTAATGTTGCCCGCTGGCGCACTTTGTGCTGGCGCACAAACCGAATTCACAATTTTTGAATGGTCCTTTTACAACGTAAAAGTATTTTCGTCATTAACTGAATTTTTATTATTCGGAAATTAGACGAATATTGTTCATGCTTGAAAATTTACAATATCTTTTATATATTATTCTAAAATTTAATAACAGTGAGCAATAGCTGAATTTTAGCTAACAAGGTTACATGAAGCTACAAAAATGGAGTTCAAGGAGCTTGAGGATTTAACAAAAATAATTATGACGTTCACAAGAAATGATGGTGCGAGTTATGAGTTCGAGTCACTACAACTCTAAAGCTAGGCGCTTACATTCCGATTGTGGCTATGAAAATTTTAAACAAGGAAAAGAAAGATTAATTTTGTATCAGTAACTAACCAAAACTCGACGACTTCTCAAAATGAATAAGTTCTCTTCGAGTCATGCGGAGTAATTTTAATGACTACATTGTCTTCCGAATGAGCTTGAGCTCCTCCATAAACTTGATGGTACTTTATAACATTTATCGCATGGAATCTTAACAATAAGGGTACCTAATTCATTAACAAATGTGGAGTAACTAAATCTGCCGTGCAGATGGTGTGGCTGTGGTCGGTCGCTGTGCTCCTGCTGCTTGCAGCGCAACCTGCACCAGCTGTTCCTGCCAAGATTGCGAACAGGATGGTGCCCAGCTGGTGGCAGTATGGTGAGGTGCCCAGCTGGTGGCAGTATGGTGAGGTGCCCAGCTGGTGGCAGTATGGTGAGATGACTTTACTGTGAGATACGTTACTGGCGGCAACATAACGAAGAATTGTACTGAGCTCGTGCCAGTTTGGTCACCTGGTGTTTGGCTGACGGTACACCACAACATATTAAATAATCACGAAACTTTCCCGTCTAACGTTCAACTCCTTCAGTAACAAACGCCCCTTCCAGACTTTCACTCTCAACTTCACGACCCTCTCCTTCCCCCAGCGCGCACCACGTGCTACGGGCAGCGCGAGTGCGGTGCTGGCGAGTGCTGCGCGCGGCCGATGCTGTCGTCGCGCGCCTACTGCATGCCGCTGAAAGGGCGCGACGCCGCGTGCGACGCCTCGCCCTTCATGCTCGATGCCGACCAGATGGTCAGCGAGTGACACTAGATCGATTACCGAGCCCTGGAGTGACCTCGGGTTCATGGATTATAGAATGTCGCATATGACATGGAGTACAGATTGTTGGATGAAATACAGGGCATGGATGAAATAATGATGCCCTGATCTATGGAATGAAGTTCAGTGACTTAACTGGGTATGGAGTTTATAGTGCTATCTGGGAGATAAAACATAGTCTTATATTTCCAATGTGGAGTATTCAGCATAGTGCTCTCTTGGGTGAAAAGTGTTCACTGTTTTATGTTGAAAAAGTTACTGCAGGTTGTAGTGCTACTCTCGCGTCCGCAGGTCCACTTCGGGGACTGTCCTTGTGAGGCTCACCTCGTCTGTGCGCCGCAGGACAGCGCCGCGCGATGCGTCGACTACCACGGCTACATGCAGCCCGACTACCATCGCTACCTCGTGACATCTGCGGATACCTCATTCTAGAGTGGCCTCGATGTGCAGGCCTCCCAGGCTAGAATGGTCTCGATGTGCAGGCTTCCTAGGCTAGGGTGGTCTCGACGTGCAGGCTTCCCAGGCTAGGTTGGTCTCGACATGCAGGCTTCCTAGGCTAGGATGGTCTCGACGTGCAGGCTTTCTAGGCTAGGGTTCCTCCCTGTCACTTCACCTGAGTGTTGGGTGTGTCCGACTAAGGGCATCAGGGAATAGGGTTACCTCCTAATGAGGGTACCGCAGTCAGAGTGTTCGGGTTGGGTGATCCCAGTATTGGGTCGCTTCCAAGTGGAGGCACCCTGGTCTGAGAGAGAGCGTCTATGATGTCCTCGGTATAAATGTCATCCTTTTCGATTGTACCCGCAATTTAAGATTCCTGTTCACCAAGTCGCCAAAAGCCGGTGCTGCACGATGGTCGTCATTGTTCTATTAGCTTCAGTTTAATTTTTGCTTCCTAGACATCATCGCGCCACGTAAAAGCTGGATAAATGAAATCTATGCTGTAAATTTCTTACTGTTATCAATAATCAGCTCGTAAATCAGCTCAGTTATAATATTGTGATGAGTTTGGGATGAACTTGAATGCGTAAATGAATTTTGCTTTTCGTTATGTTACAAGTTCGCTGTTTCATAGCATGGTAGTATCACGGTTATGGGGTTGAAAGAAAGCTTTGTCTTCTGCTGAATGTTTACTTTAACACCGTATGAGCGACTAGAATCAGCTCATGCCGAAGACAAGAAGCTAGAGAGCGATGGGAGAAGCGGGTGCTTCCTCTTACAGGGAACTAGGGCAAGGAACATAAAAGTTACGGTAGAAACCGATAACTCGTAGTAAATGTTACAGATAGATGATACGTTTATCCTAACACTTTACTTTGATTCTCTAGCAGCGCTATCTAAAATGACAGTTCATGAGCCCTTTTTTGTTCAGGCAAGACATAACAACAAAAGATTGTTGGTATACAATTACGGTCAATTTTCAATCAATAGAGAAATCACCTTACAAGTAATGATGCTCTGTTTTCATTATTATTATTCATTTACAGTATGTATCTACGCATATTTCTTCAATCTCATTCATTCAAAATTTCTCATCCGTTCAAGTACCATTGTGCTCAGTGCGCACGTGCAACATTTCCCTTCTCCTTTCATGGCGATCAATTATGTCCGATCCAGATTTTGTGATGCTGTCCAGATTTTGTGATGCTGCTTTTTTCAACATGCGCCATAATTTGTCATTGGACTCGAAACCGACTAAAGGACATCACTTTTCGTTAGATATATTAACCTCTTAGCACGCCTGAAAAGCAAGTCTTCGCCAGGACCTAGAACGTCAACGGACGCAAATGCCACGAAGACGCTGAAATTTGCTCGAACATGATCGTCCTAAACGACAATGACACGCCATCGTTTTGGCCGCGACAAAGTGGAATTAGTGAATATGGCGGTCATAAACGGCAAAGCCACGATATTGCTTTAGCCGTGACCAAGACTTTGGAATTAAGAAATCCCACTGCCCTGAACGCCGATGTCCCGGTAGAAAGCAGGCGCCGTGGCCGCGCGACGAAGAAGTTGTCATAAGTGTTACGGGCGGATAAAATATTTTATACGCGATCGACATTTGGAAAGTGTGTAGGTGCACCGCTACATCGACACATACGAGTGCGAAGAAAATTTTAATCTCACATATACTAATTGTTAAGAAGTTTGGAATATGTCTAGTAAGTAATTATGTGCAAGTATATTTGCAAATATGCTGGTATATTTGCATATTATGCGAATAAATTGGCAGTTCCTTGAAATATTATATATGGTTAATAGAAACTAAGGCTGAAATCAATTCACTTTTGCAGTTACACTGATTTATATTGGTGAAGATGCTAGGGTGAAGGAGCAGCCTGGCCAGGGCAATGAACAGGAGTCTTGAGGCTTTATAACTTCTTTGTCTATTGTAAGATTTGTATTGGCAATGAATTCATCAAACTAAAAATAAATGTAATTCTGAACTGTACCTTCAACTCTCATCCTTAAGAGGCAGCCCATTTAATCGCGAGCGTCTTCTTTAATTCTACGAAGTATGAAATAAATCTAGTAGTAGAATAAATTCATAGAAAATTTGGCCTGAACATCCGTCACATCAATTTTCACATGAGGATTTCCATCTTCTATGTCCTGCTGAAATATCATCGAGGAAAATTCTCATAAAATACCATGCAGAAATTTCTATCTCTGTAATTCTTATGAAATTTCCTCTAGAGGTATGTTACCAGAAAAGAACAGGATTATTATAAGCCAATTATGCTGCACACAATGTGGAGGTGGATATTATAATTATTAATAATATATATTTCCCAAATAAAGGGAATGAGGAAAATGGGAGTCTGTGAGAATATTTGGATTTTGGCTGAAACTCAAAACCTGTTGAACATGCAAAGATTTTACGAATATTTGAAGATTGCGTAATCGACGAGTGGCCGAGTACATAAGATCACCAAAATTGACTTTGCGTGAGGTCTCGGACAAATTCACGGCCGGACCCGCGGCCGGTCTGGCGGCCGGAAGGTTTTTTTTTTTTATGGGTTTATATAGGTTTTTTGAGTTTTTAATGGAACTTGTTCCTAACTGGACATAACCTGCGAGGTTTTCGTTGATTCGCTAAGTTTTTTCTATGTTTGGAGTCCGGCAGCCGCGTGACCAGCCGCGGGTCCGGCCGTAAATTTGTCCGAGACGTCTTTGCGTGTTGGGCGTTCGGTCAGGTGGTTAAGAATCAGCAGGTATAGTGCATCATGAAATAATACGAGCTGACGCCTTTGCTGAATAATATAATCGTGACGCTGACATGATTATTATCATGTAAATATTTATTAACGCTTGTTGTATTTTAATTTGATAATTTTTATTACCATGCAAGTACGTCTAATTTGAATCCCCCCGTTGAACAAGTAAAAAATGTCTAAAAGCTTATCTAAAAATTAATTTTGAAAATTTCTAAGTTTTTCTGGACGTTTGAGATTATTTGCACTCTTTCTTCGTGGTTAATGTAAAAAAGTTATGTCTCGGTCCGGCTTTTGATCATCTGCTGGAGTCCATCTTTTAGTAATATTGCCGTAGATTTTAAAGGGAGCGCAGCCGTGCACCACCAATTTTGTGCACCAATAAGCCCTGAATCGAACGCCTTGGATCTCTCCGGACCTACACCAATCAGCCGTGCACCACTCGGCTTTGTGCTCTTTCGGCCTTGACCACCACCTGCCGTGCACCACCAGGCCGCGGATCGAATATGACTTCCGGGCATCGTTAAATTACGTAATTTTACGTTCGCCGCATCTGAGGTTAGGTTTCAGATAGCATAGTTCTGTTCCAAAATTTATCGTCCTTCGACAAGTGGCCGTTCGACCGAGGGCTGGTTCGACCCACGGCATAGATACGGACGGCTTGAAGTGTTGAAGGCTACGTTCCGGAAGGCAGGAATCATGATGGTCCATTACATCCAGGGCAGTGGTGGTCTTCGGTGGGCGACCCATGGTGGTGTCTGGTCAGGGCGACTGCAGTGCATCATTAGAAGGCGGGCTACTGCGCCTAGCAATGCACTACTGCAAGTGGTGAGGTGGCGGTCAAATAGCGGCAGGCTGCTGAGCGCCACAGCTTTGCTGCTCATGTGTTTTTCTGCCATCGTATTTAAAACTGAAGTTTGTTCTGTGTAGTTAAATTCATGAGCAACTTACGCGTATAAAAAAGAAATACATTTGAGTCCGTCATTAGTAAGCATCATCAATTTGAAACATGAATAATTGAAGCAGCTACAAAAATACTAGGAGGGTAAATGATTGAATGCCTCGCGTTTAACTAGGCCGCCTGTTTTGAAAACTGTATGCTAAATAGAAGGCAATTTCAGAAGAAAACGCAATTTCGATGCACACGCAATTGACGGAAATTCCACACCATTTTTTCAAGTTTGAGGGGTGGCAAATGGCTGATTAATACGATATTTCAATGCAAGAAAAATGGCACATAAAGGCCTATGACCAAGTCAATTGTTATTATTTGAATGTATTTCAGAGAAAAATCGGAAACCTACTTATATGTAGTGAACAAGTGGCCTTCATATTTCCTAACGATTACTGCCTACAGATTGAAGTGGTCAGGATTTCTCATCTTGAAGTATTAATAAATATCACTCTTTAAAAATTTTCTTCCAAGTTTATATGCAATTCCGTTCATAAGATATGTCGTTTTAGTTGGAGATGGGCGACTAGAAACAGTGGGGACTTAATTATACCTTATTGACGCCAGGAGAATTCACAACGTTGTCACGATAGTAGCAAAATACTTCTGCATGAACATTTCACCAGCGAAAACAAAATAATTATCACTTGTCTAACACAAGCCTGCAGGAAAGCAGCTAAACTTCAACGCTGAACAAGTGCTGGGCCTACATAGAATAGAATAGAAAAGAAGTGTCGGCGTTGAAGACATAGGCCCATGGCCTGTTGCCGATTCTTGAACTTTTCGTGACTTGATTCACAAGGGATCCGGCCTTTGGAACCCGATCTTTCCATAACTGACGATTGATTGAGATAGCTGCTGGACTTATTGCCTGCTCCGTAATTTGCTAGGCATTTTAAGACTGAACATATGCTCCTGCATAGCTTCGTCTAGTCTGTTTTTGAAGATGTTCATACTCGGAGCTTCAACGATGCTATCAGGGAGGCTGTTCCACATGTCGGTGACTCGAAGCGAGAAGAAATGTTGTCGCATGGATGTTGCCAGGTTTTGATTGTTTTCATAACTTAAATGAAGAGCAGTGCAGTAGAGGTGTAGCTTTGTGGGTTAGAACCTCTTATGGGGCCCAGCAAGTCAAGTTATCTGCAGAACATCAATCAGCTAGAGAATCAGGTAGACTGTTTGACACGTTGAGGTTCAAGTGGAACAATGAGGGCGTTCAAAAAATTCTTAGAGCATAATTTTATCAGCAATTCTTAAAATTGTTCGAAAATGAAAAAGCTACATTTCTTTAACAGCGACATTAAATCGTAAACTCGGCATTTTTCAAGAAAAACTCAATTGCATTAGTTAACTAAAGCAACAACGGTCCAGAGTGAGAGTTTGGAATCGAGTATCGGGAGACATTCTTTTGAAACAATTTAAAACTTCAAATCACATTTCTATTTAATTTTTGGTTTACTTCTTTTTTGGTGTTTATTCTTCTAATCAATATTTCTTTAGTTGCCTGATCTTGTTTGGCACAAAAATTTGAGCAGTAGATATCGGCAGAAATCGTATCTAATAGCAATTTCTGTTATTCATTTTCTAAAAACCTCTTGGTCGGTGGATTCGTGATGGTTGATGGTTTATTATTCCATCCAGATAGGAACTTTTCTCGCTTGTGTAAGATTTGGTTTTGTCCTTGCAAATCATGGGACAGAAGCAGTTGAACTGACCTTTAGGCAGAAGCTGCTGGTAAATGCTCTGAGACAGACCAGTCAATGACCGAGGTCACATCTATAAAGAGAAGGCGGTCTCTTTCCTTCATACGTGTTGTAAGGCTGAAAAAACACGACCATCAAGCAGGCCTGTGCGCAGGACATGCAAAAAGTGTTAACTCGCGTACGGTATATAATGATAACTCTGACTGATCTGTGAGAACTTGGCACACGATTATCAGCTCGACTTAATTGTGTTTGCATTCAAATGTATGAATGTCGAAGATAGACGAGCCAAAGAATCTAGAAGGCTGAAATCTTTAATTAAAGCTACAATGAATAAGCAGTAATAATAGAGCATTGAAAGTAATTTTTTTCCATAACTGCGACTAATACCATGAGACTAATACCAGATTTGCGACTCTT